ATAAACATATATATAGCACATCGACATCGATCAAAGTACATTAGGGAAGCATTGCAGGCTCTCCTTTTTTCTTTCTTCTAGCGGTTACATCAAAGGTGCTCGAATCAAGACAGAAGTCGAACGCTTTCGAGCCTTCATTGGCTACTTTATTATCTTTGCATCTATAGTTGATGTAGAGTCCTTCACGTTTATTTTAATTTAGGAGCCTCCGGTAAGTGCTGAAGCGTCATAGACCTAATTTCGATACTGGCATCCTTCTTTCACTAAAATAGATTACCGATCAACAAGTCTTCCAACGTCGTTTCCTACAGAGGAAACGTCCCTCCATGGACGAAATCCGACGTTCGTGGTGCTTTACGAGGAAGTACATCGTTTACAGCTCGAATAGCTCTGCAGAGAACGCCCTCTTTGCGGCCGAAGTGTGAATCATACCACCTGTAATAAATTACCAGTAGAAGTGTTGATTCCTCATGAGCACAAGAACATACCTCTGGATATTGCAGGCGGGAATAGTTATAGAGAATTGTTTCCAAAGCTAACACAATAGAACTGCTTGAGGTTGTGGATGGTGTAACATTTTTCGAATATTCTAGCCCTCTTCATCTATTTATATATGCATTTAACGCTTTTAAATGCCCTAGCGTTATTTAAACCGATTTACAAAAGAGATTACAATGTTGTCCCATACGTAGCAAAGCAGAACATTCCAGTAGAGACGGAACTTCTGAGCTGCAGCTACTGGATGCGGAGACTTCATGTAGCGGTGAAACTCCACAGTTCTTATGAAAACTCAGGGAATAGTCTGCGTGTCTTGGCGCCGTGTATGTCTATGAAGTCTCAAATGACAGAAAAAATATACATATTAGACAACTGCAGCTTTTTCTAGCGTATTCCTTACCTTTACTACGCAATGTGTCAAGGGAAAGAAACATTTTACGTATAGCTCAGTTGTTGTATTATTTAATAAACAAGCAGCTCATGCCCGTTTGAACGTACGGGGGGAGAAATTTTAAGCTAATAATTGCGTTTGGGGCTGCAACAGCAATTATTAGATTAGAACTACAATTACGTGATGACTGCCCGAAAAGCCGATGCTTTCCGAACGCCATGAGTGCTACTACCACAGTTGCAGAGTGACCTAGAGAGCATTGTTCCATACGCTATTTTACTGGCCACTGCTATCTGGGTAGATTTATCAATATTTCATTTAACAGTCACGCTAATTGATTGACAATATCAAAATTTCACAATTGTTCACTAGTGTACCATGTAGTGTCCCGTTTTCTATTGCTCTGCCAAACCTGTAATGTTCGGCAGAAATTGGAGGAACATTCTCTATATTTTTTTATTGGCGGACACATAATGACCACATGCTACACTGGGAATGCTTCTTTTCTTTGAAGAAAACGCTTTCTAGTATCGGCTCCCGAAAAGGGGTACATGTATGCCTGAAAACCGTGAATAACTTGATATTAGGGATGATAATCTTTCTTAGGACCTTCGACGGAAAAATTTTGGTCTGTCTGTCTGTCTGTCTGTCTGTCTGTCTGTCTGTCTGTCTGTACAATTGTCTGTTTGTCCGCCCTAACGATATCTCAAACGGCATTAAACAACCAACCACATCCGCAGCGCCCACCAATATTGCTCAAGGTTTAGCGTTCATAGTTGTGCGATTGTCAATTAAAAAGCAATTATTTCGCATATGTGAGGCACCACAACAACGCTTCGATGTTTTCTATGTCTGCCTTTATACTTGAAAAGGCACACACATGTAACTCTAAGGAATGTAGCGTTTAATCGCGCAGTGCTGACAGTGCTACGCGATGCTCTAAAATGTGTTTCCAACGCTTTGCTACGACGTCACGGTGGTGGCACTTGCCCGTCGCTTTGCGTTCTACACCTTATCACCTCAGAGACTGGCGCGCATCTTTCTCCGCGGACTGCAAGCTTTCGTTTTCGAAGATAACTGCCAGATGGCACTTGTGTCTAACGTGCCTAGATGCGCTTGTTCACTTCCACCACACGCTCGAGGCACTCTAACGCAGCGCCTGCAGAATACCATTCCCCGATTTTCTTGCGCAGAACATCAAATAAACGTTTTGTTCACTCTCTCCAGACCCAAGACTATCGTCTTTCGACGACATTTACAGTGTAACATGTAGATTCGGGCCATTTGTTTTACTAAGAAAAAGTTATTTTCGTGAAGGTAATGCATGGTGCTTCTCCCTGGCCCCCTTGTCGAACGATTCTACGTCTTTCTGAATGTTCCACAGTCATCATTCGTAGATGCTTTTTAAATGACAGATCAGATCGCATGAGCGTAGCCATGAGTAGCCTCACCACACATAAAACGACACTCGACAACAGCTGTCCGCACGGGTGCTGCTTCACGGCCAAGGGCTTTTCGCCTGCGAAACAAAATTTTGGCTCCGTCACTAGCACTAGTTATAGGTGAAATTATGAGGTGGAATGTTGTAGTCCCTGTGTTGAAGAAACAGAAAGTCTCTTGCATTACTGGTAGGGAGGTTCGCGGTGAAAGAATCCTTGGGTATTAAATATGGCTGATCAGTTTCTCCGAAAGACCAGAAGGGGGGATGAGGTCCATCGGGGGTAAAAATGCTAGCTGCTTGTTTGTAGTAAAAAGTTACAACCGATGTTCTCACAAATTTTCCAGAAATGAAATATCCAATGAACAAATATTTGCACAGCTTTCACTAAGTGGCGCAAGGCTGAGGACCAGCAGACTAAGTGGGCACCAAGCTGGTCCCTGCTTGGCTAGGCCTTTACCCTCTCACCTTTCTCTTTCCCACACCTTGCTACGATTGTGCTTACTTTTTGTATTTCTGTTTCTGTCTATTTCTGTAGATTTCTTTCTCTCTTTACCTAGTTCTTGCTATTTCGCGCTCTCTCTTTCTTTATTTCCGCCCCTATTTCTCGCTTCCTCCTTCTGTCCCCTTCTCTCTCTGTTTGTCTTTCTTCATACGCTATTATTTGCTCTCTACCATGCTCCTTTCTCTCCTCGTCACCATAAATTCTCTTTCCCACTAAAACTGTAATTTACAAGCTATGCTTTTTCTATTCGTCTTTCTTTCACTCTCTTTTCTTGTCTCTGACTGTAGTCACTCTCTCACCCATCAGAGCTATTGCGTTCCTCGTGCACACTAGACAAATCGGCGTACGTTTTCTAGGAGTGAAACAGAAGAAGACCAAGAGGGTGGGTGCCGATTTATGATGATTGTAATTGTCTTTATACGACACACGGCAAACATCGAGCGTAAACGCTCTCTTTCAAAAGGAATTCGCTGACCGATGTAAAGCTAACAGTTTAGGATAACATTCAATAAGAACCTTCTGCGCCCATCTCCTACAATATTTAATGTTGAAACTACGATCGGATTTTTGCACACAATTAGCGTAATATAGCTCTATAGAAAGTTATTAGCGGTATTTCCTCTGAGATCACTTTGTGCGACAGATCGCGCGAGAACAAATTGCGTAAATTCTTTAGTCGTGCATGCGGCGATACACGTTGGTTGCAGGTGTAGGAACGCATGAATACCACAGCGTGCAGTTCGTCATAGGAACGTGTTGTGTCACCGTTTTTTTTTAAGAGACCGTTTTCTTCACAAGTTTAGTGGGAGGGCATTTCCATTGCTTATTAAGTGTATTGCAGGTTCAATACAGAAGGAACAAATGTTTTCGCTACTTTTGCATGCACAGAACTTAACATAAAGTTAACAAGTTATCACAAATACACGAAAGCTTTGCCCACTTTTCAATTCATTTTTTTAGTTATTTCTCGAAGATTTCAGTCATTACTGGGGCCGTGTTTTTTTATAGTTTGAGCTATTCACGACGTGACAAAAAAAAAATAAAGTGCATAGTTAAAAAGTATACTCTACCGCAAGGCCTAAGAATAATGAAATGTGTGTGATCAGTGTGACTTAGTCGGTGTAATAGCGAGTCCAAAGTGTGAGAATAAGAAGATAATTGAGAGTGAACACAGAGTTGCCAAAGTGCGATGACCAATGGAGTAAGATTCACCTACTGAGTCACTTTAATGAACGCGGGAACTCTTAAGAGTAATGACGCTCAACGCCCGCTTGCCTCGGGGTCGCCACTCATTGAAGGTATCAATACACGATCCCCGATTTCCGACAGCTAATAACCATTCTAGAGCCCCGCATGAAGACGACGTGCTACTCGGTGGCCAAGGGCCAAAAGCGCGCGTGTTCCACGTCACGACGTTGTGAAGACCCTACAAATGCTTCCCAGAGAGGGTAGACGCGTGCCCGCCTTGGGTCGAGTGACGCAAGAATCGCGTGTCGCTGCGCACGGGTTGGCGAGGTTACGCAACTCCGAAGTCGACGGGAGCTGTGAAGGAGCACGCGTCACATCAAACGGATGTCGATTGTCCACGAACTGTGTCAAGCGCTTGCGCACGAGGGTGGTGGTCGAGAGGACGTAAAAGAAAGGGGGTGGTAGAGGTGAAAGGTACTTTATGCTTTGGAGCGAGAAAAGGGTGGTCCCTACGAGAGTGAGGGGCCACTTACGCGCGTATTCAAGGCCGCCAGAATTTTTCATCTGTCCCAGGTAAGAATGGTAGTGTGAGAGAGTTCGTGGTTGCGCTTGCTACGTTGCTGTAACGGCTGCTTCAACTTTCACTTCCCCCGAGGAGGTGCAGAGGGTGCCGTCTTGTCATCGCCAGGGACCGCGAGCTGAGTGATAGGCTCGCGATTACCTCCTCTCCCAACTCTGCCAACATCTCTCCCCTGTTTAGAAGCACCGTCAAAGTAGCAAAAAGCTCATAAAAGAAGCGAGAACGGTATTGGATCAGCCAGTTGACTTTCAAAAACCTGCGCGACCCTTGCAGCAGCTTCACCGAATGAATCGAGGAAACGTTATTTTCCTTCTGAACGCCTAAATAGTTGGACCCAAAGTTCTCACAGCTGAAATTTCTTTACAACGCGAAGGATCACAAGCGCCAGACGTAAGACACCATGGAGCCCGTACCACCGATGTACAAGCCCCTGATACACAGCAAAATCGTCTCGGCATGCGTATATGCAGCAGGGATCGCGGTGTTATTCTACTGCGTGCGAATACTGGCCCGCACAATTCGGGCCTATGCTTGCTTATGGAACCTACCGCATCCACCTGAACGCTTCCCTTTCTGCTTACTCCTGGACTTGTGGCAAAGCGTGGCCACCATGGACTCGTCGCTGGAAGTACCAGCCAGTGAGTGCAATTGAACACTTTGTTGACTTATTTTGCTAGTGCTCATGGTCACCGTGGTTTGGCCCATTTTCCAACTCATCTTGAAGCTTATATCAAAGGATAAATACAATTAGCTATAAAAAATTGATGCCGGAGATGAGGTCCATGCTTATTTCACCGCTCTCCCCGGATGAACAGGTTTGAGCAGTTCCGAATTAAGGACATTTCCACGTTTCTTCACTTAGATCATTTTTTTCATTGAAATAGGCTCACACGCGTATGACACTAAGTGACGTAAAACAACTAGCGGGCGAGTTGCAGAGTGGCACCGCCAAATATTAGAGCGGCGGCTTCATTCTATCCTTGAATCCTCAGTGAGACACTTAAATTAGCATGTACTACATGAAGATCCCCCATATATATCGGCATTTACGAGCGTAATTAGAATCGATAACTACCATGAATAATTTTATCAATGCGCAATGTCTGGACGGCCTAACAACAATCTAGTTTTTCCTCCGCTAAGTATTGATTGAACACGTATTTGCTCTACTTTTCACAGAGATATTCAACTATTTGGATTCAGTGTTTCACCAAATTCATGACCAAGATGTCACGGTTGCTTTTTATGGCCCCAAGCCATTTCTCATTGGCGTGACCCCCGACATTGTAGAGGTAAGCGCGCTTTATATAATCCGATAGTTCGCGGTGATCTTGATTTCAGATCTGAGTCGAGTTCTGAACATGGATATGCAGCTTTGAAGCAACGAAAAAAAGTAAATGCGTTTTTGAACCTCACATAGTCAATTAGCCATTTAGAAGATATGTTTTAGAAATTTGTAATTACACATGCCAGCCTTATTGAATCACCAAACACTTGTCCTTTGCGTACCTCTTGCATGTGATTTCATCCTAATCTGCAGGTGTTGAATGACGCACTGCCGTCGTGTAATCAAACACTGATCTTATTTTGAAGCCCTTGTGGATTGTACATTGGTTTGTAAATAGGCTATAATTTTTAAAAAATGTCTTTCATGAGATGCTTTTACCTTGACCACAACAACAGCGTGAAAACACGCCCCAAGGATCTTCATTGTTTTATCAATTTACGCCTTTGTTTCAGTGCATATGCAGCCAGCAAAGTGAATTTCCTCTGCAGGTGTATAATAGAGTCTAGATTAGCCCAGTTCAACACAGTTTATTTTCATTCTCAGCAGGAGTTGGCATTATTCTACCTGTCAATCGTTTGTGTGTTTTTTTTTACTTTTCAACAAAAGTGGTTAAATGTGAACTTATGGGATTTTCTTTGCTAAAACAAAGCTGTCATTATGAGTCACGCCGTCGGGTACGACACCGGGTGAAATTCGAGCCTCTCAGATATGTTCACGTGCTACCAAATCCAAGCACACCGGTGTTTTCACATACAAACCCCATCGAAATGTGGTCTGTACGGTCGGGAATCGGAGCCGTGCCTTCTTCTCTAGCAGCATAACACAACAGGCACTAAGTCACTATGGCGCGAAGCGAAAACAGTCACGACCAGTCGTCGTAGCTTAGGTGCTAAGATATGCGCTGCCAAACTCGTGTGCGTGAGTTCAATTTCACGTCACGCCAGCCGCATTTCGATGACAGAGATAGGCAAAAAAATCTTGCTTACTACTATTTAGACCCCTGCCATGATCCATAGATGGTCGACACTTATCCGGAAGACGCGACTTCGGCGTGCCTTATAATAATGCATGTGCTGGCTTCAGCATGTAAAACTCTAAATACTTAATATTTAAAACAATGGGAATAATATTTAGGCTTCATTGCTATTGAAAAGCTTCAGAAAAATTGAAAAGCTTCAGAAAAAGCAGATAGCTGATGAGATTGACTTGCTATTCTTTCTCTTGCAGCGTGTGCTATCAAGCACCGAAAACGTTAACAAGTCATTCCTCTACGCCATGTTAAAGAGCTGGATAGGCAATGGCCTGCTTACTAGGTAAATATCCTGGACTATTTCCTCTTGGCCGATTGTCGCTCTTCGAGCGTCACATTGGTATAGCTAGTAATTTCTAAAATTATAGAAAAAAAGATTTGCAGGAGGACCTGCCTACTACGGTTGCTAGCCTTCACTTCGTTCTTTTAATGGTGGTTTCTCCAGTACGCAAAACACTCAAAGTTCCAGGCCGCGAAACCATATTGTCCGTATAGTTAACATTCAGCAAGAAATCGGTCAGGATGTGTGACCTTCATCATGAGTAACATATTTCATATAATGACTTGCGTTTGCATACCAAGGGCTGCTTAAACACAGCGCCTGCAACCTGTCAGCACATCTTGGAATTTGTCTCAGTGGACCTCCTAGACAAATGCCAAATTTGCTGGTATTTTGCGACTAGACTTATCCACACGCATGGTACGCATATGTGGACGCAACTTGTGTTTGCGAGTTCTTTCGATTAGTGGCCAAAAAAGAGAATTAAGCTTTCAACAAACTGAATTTCCAGCATAGGTGATCTGTCGTCGTTTAGCTTCAATGTGTGGCGTATGACTGCAGCTGATCACTTTCACGCATTTACCATAATGTTCATTTCTAACATTTTTGCAAGTAAATACAAAAACAAAGGAAATTGTGGCGACCTAATGTGCACACCTTACGTATTTGCAATGTGTGACTTATCTGATACATTATAGATTGCAGTCCTTGCTTGCGTATCACTATACGAAAGCGTCTCGTCACCTCGATGATTGTTATCGTGAGTTGTAGACGGACGAACAGAGATCTACAAGGAAACAACACATACGCTAGTATTTTCCTTGTGCAAACGTAAATAAAACAAGTTTTGAATAAACTGACCTTCAGGGCCAGCATTTAAAAAAAAACTGTGTTGCCTTGAACGAATGTAGTTCTCTTTCTGCAGCGACAAAGAATACACGTCATGTCAGGGTGCAATCACACATATTTTGATTCTTCTTTTTTTTTCAACGTTACCTAATTCAATTAGGACACAAGAATCCTACATGAACACTTTGTTTTTCTTGAACCTTTTTTTTTTCTACGAAAAGCAAGGTCCCCTATATGAACCGTATACAGTTGCATGTACTGCACACATATATAATCGCGCGCACTAGAGTTACTCTAAAGCATCGGACCGACGACCTACTCTTTCCCGGTGCCCTTCTTACTTCTGGCGTAGTTTTCTCCTGATTGAAAGACATTAAGTTGCAGCGAAGACCAAGTCTATCTTTCGATACCCACTTAGATCAGACGAATCCCGCGCACTTCAGTGAAAGGTGTAAAATGCAGCTGCAGAGTGAATGGAATCGTTTTCGTTGTTATCATAAAGCGTGCGATAAGGTTCCACACCGGTATCGCCATTATCCTGGAGCTAAATAGAAGCACTGTCATTTTCAGCGAGAAGTCGATATGGAAGAAACGGAGGAAGGTTCTGACACCGGCGTTCCACTTTCGAATTCTCGACGAGTACGTGCCCGTTATGAACCGAAGGGCGGCCCTGCTGTGTGACAAGATGGCCGCCCTGGGCCGGGACGACTTCGACGTGCTACCAGTTATGAGGCTTGCGACATTCGGCATTCTCTTCGGTGAGTGATCCCGCGTCGCACATAGCACGCTTCTTCGTCTCTGCGGACGCTGCGAGCGCCACGCGGCGATCTCTGGCAGGTCATTCATCCTGTTTGAAAATCTTGCGTATTCCCATTGAAAATGTTGCGTATTCCCACGCCGTCCTTCAAGAAGGGCCGCGCACTGAGCTTGTTCGAGGAGCGCACCTCGAGTGAGCCTTAATTGATGGGAAGCGGGCACGACAACCAGATGTGCAGTATTTTTTTTTCTTTCTTTTGCTTACCGGCTGGCCTTGTTCCTGGAGAAATCGCCGCTTGATTGACGCCTTCTACAATGAAAAAGGTCGTTTTTTTTCTCGTATTATCCGATGGGAGAAGCAAAAGATCAAATCCTTCTGAAAAGAAGAAAGGCCGGGTGTTAAGGAAAATAATTGAGAAGTATGTTATCAAGTGGATTCAAACGTTACCGCAAACCCCTAGTTTTTTTCTGAAGTTTTATTTGTAATCCTTGGTCCTTTGTGGTGGAGGGAGCAAGAGAAGGTCAGTGGGAGAAGAATAATGCTGTGCTGTTTCATCAAAACTAATTGTGTACACACTGTACTGGCTCAAAGTTATTGCAATAAAAGCAGCACTATGTGTAGCTTAAAACAAAATGATGGCATGGATAGATTAATTTCCACTGTAAATTTGTGGAAACTTTGTGGCTATAATCTCATGACATGCGCCTTGGGCAAAAAAAAACTATTTATCTTGTGTCGCTGCCAACAGAAGCAATAAACATCAAGTCAAATACTTAACGCGAAAGAAAAGAACGTTGAGTGCCGAAATGAACTTAAAAAAAAAAATAGATGCTCTAGCTTTTCTTCTCTTTTACGTTTTGTCGTATGCATTTTTCTGTTTTTAAGAAAGAAGCATCATTTTTTTCTTGAAACAGGTTTGGGAAGGCGCTATAGATGTCTGTAGTATGATTTATAGCAACATCATTTACCTGTTGAAAGGGCTGAAATACATCATTCAGGTAGATAAGCACCAACGTGGGTTTTCGGCTCTAACTGTATGCTATCTGAGAACGCCCCTTAACTGGTGGTACTCGAACATATGGTCAGAAAGTTCGTGCCAGGTCATTTTTCTAAGCTCTTAGTGCAATACGCCTCCCCCCGCCCCTCCATTTCAGCACCATAGCAAGGAATAGTTAAATGGCCTCAGCAATATGCTGTGGACTATTTCTTACTGCACCAGAAGTTCGATACAGTATTTCAAAGAAAATGTAGTGTGCTCCTTACGTCAGTGAAAATAATGTTTGTTTGAAAAGAATGACTTACTGGATAGTGCACAAAGCTTGCGCAGCTCCGTGGGTTGCTAGCTCAGCGTGTTCCTCTTCTTTTTCTCTCTCTGTTTTTTTTCGCTTCCTTTTTTTTTGAGGAAAGGCTGCTTGGCAACACCATTCACCGAGAGGAATTCACACAGTGAATTCTCGTGGAACGTTCAATTTAAGATATATTGTGTGGGACACCGGCTGACAACTTGCCCGAAACGAATATTATAACGCTTGTTTCGCACCTCAAACCAGAACTAAAATAACCGTTGGTTCACTTGCCGATATAACAGAAAGACGTGAACGTAAAAACAAATGTCTCTTTCTTACATTGTGTCTCTTTTTTTTCATTCCATAGCCTACAGGATACGATCACACTAGCTCCCACAAAAGTGTGCTATCGGTGAATAAAATGGGTGCATACTTGGCAAAATTTAAGTGGGAGCACATAGTTGGGCTCAAAATTTTCAGCTTTCTTCATGTATAAGTATCAGAAATTTTTATCAAAATGAATAGTTCTGTACTAATAAGTGGTGGATATTTTAGGGGCTTGAGGCAAGCGACAAACGCAGAAAATGTGCTACTGCGGAGTGGCGCTCGTGTACGGGCTCTCAACTAATGACGAACATTAACGAGATGTAGACTACAAAGCAAGTCCCCCATAAAGATTACAATGCAAATTCTGACTAGAAAGTTTAAATGTAATTTTTCTTACATTTTATAGAGGCCAAATATAGTTATTATATTACAGGCAATGCAATGACGTTAAGTGCAGTCACATTTGCGCATCATCCTGTGTGAGAGCTTGTTGAGAAAATCAGAACATATCCACGACGTGACTGATGATGAGTGGGGTGAAGCGCTGGATGGTTTCATCGCTAAACCATGAACCATCCGCGAATATCCCCAATACATCATCAAAGACATGAGAAACACTGTTTGTATTTATGCAAGAAATTTGATCATTCGTAACTGGTCACTTCCGTTCCTTTCGTTCTCCCTTCATCGTAACGGCTTTATGGTCGGTGAAGTGGTGGATCGGCGATAGGGCGGAGTGGAATGTTTGCCAGGACAAAGTAGAGGGCAGTTTCCAAAGGTGGAACTGTAGGCGGTCACGTATACATACATATAAGGGATGAACGGACCCATGCCTTCGGGAGCTTCGCCCTTAAAAATGGCACGTTGTGCAAGTATTATGTGCAAATAGCATTATGTTGTGCAAGTATGGGGCACAGAAGACCTAGTGGGCACGTTTCAGCTTCTCTTGTTAATCATTCGCGCAATATGTTTGGGTAGCATTGAGTCCGTGACGATTCATGACGATGACCATTATCGAACTACGACAAGCCCCGACCAAAACAGCTCTGCTGTTATGGGTGCTTTGCATTCTATCAGACTGTAGGAAGCGTCAAGACAAAGTCTGAAGACACGGACACTAAGTTATTTTTGTAATGCCTATATGGAAGGTGGGAGACACATTTAGGGCGTCGTTTAGAGGGGCGTAAGCATCAAAATGTGTTGATAGAGAAAAGAAAAAAAATAATCAACGCATACGGGGCACTTTCACAAGTTGGAAAAAATGACAGGGTTGTTGTGTCGAACACATTTACATGAAGTGATGCTAAATTCTGAAAATTCTGCTCATTTCAGTTTCTTGCTTGATTTGCATGTAAATAATGAAAAAAAAGCTGTTCTTTCGCATAAATCGAAGTACTTTGCTCTCTTAGAGACTGCTATGGGAATAAAGCTTGACGAAGAGGCTGTCAAGAAAACTGGATTCCTGGAAGTCAACGATGAGTACGTTACCATTCTGACATATTTTTAAGTTAAAGTATGAGGTATTTTCGAATTTTTTTTTTGGAGCACTAACATATAATTTATTTGCAGAATTGCGACAGCAATTATTACGAGGATGATGAATATTCATCACTGGCCAGAATTTATATACAAGCGCACTGAGGATGGCCGAAAGTTTTATGAGAAATTGGAGCTCATAAAGAAGTACACACGAGATGTAAGTACACTGCTACTGTTCAGTGAAACGTTCATTTATCTATTACTTCAGATAGGTTATAAAAGTTTGCTTGTATCCCGCCGCGGTGGTCTAGTGGCTAAGGTACTCGGCTTCTGACCCGCAGGAGCGGGATCAGATCCCGGCTGCGGCCGCTGCATTTTGGATGGAAGAGAAAATGCTGTAGTCCGATGTGCTCAGATTTTTGTGTGCGTTAAAGAATTCCCGGGAGGTCAAAATTTCCGGAGCCCTCCAGTACGGCGTCTATCATGATCATATGAAAGCGTAATGAAACAGTTTTTCATTCCATTACAAGGTGAGTATACCCGCCTGGTCGCTCGGTTACGAATGAGTAGGAGGAAAGCGGCTAAAAGTGAAAAGAGAGCATATCTCATATAGCTGTTTTTAGCCCTTAATGAGTAATCCATATTGACGCAGAAGGCTGGACTTAAACATCGGTAAATGATTGATTTGATTGATATGCGGGGTTTAACATCCGAAAACCACCATGTGCTTATAAGAGACGACGTAGTGGAGGGCTCTGGAAATTTCGACCACTTGAAGTTCTTTAACGGGAACCCAAATCTGACCACACGGGCCTACAGCATTTTCGCCTCCATCTAAAATGCAGCCGCCGTAGCGGGAATTCGATCCCGCAACCTGCGGGTCAGCAGCCGAGTGCTAGCTACTGCACCATTATGGCGGGGTATCTATAAATGCTTGCAGCGGAAAAATGACAGTATGCCGTGGTTTATTGAGAGCTATGGTAAATAGTATTCTGAACCATTTTATAAATAAACAAAGGTGTGATTTTTTAAATAAATGGCAACTACAAGACGCATAGATTCTAAGTCATTATTCGCCTCGACGCAGGCTGTCGGTGCACAGTTAATCACCTGCTTGACTTCGAGAGATGCGCTCTCTTGCGTGAATTCAAAATTAACGTCTGCTTCAGATCCTAAGCTGCCGAAAGAAGACCTACAAGACTGAAGGTGACCAGGCTGCCCAGAAGAAGAGCTTCATGGACATACTGCTTCGTATGCACATGGAAGAAGGAATCTTCACGGAGGAGGAAATAAGGGAGGAGGTCAACACGTTCATGATTGGGGTGAGCACATTCTCCCGGACGGCCACGAACAAGGCGAAATATGATGCGATCATTGATCAGCTAGATGTTTCTGTTCACGTGCGCTGTAAGCTCAACTGAAACTCTTCCTTTAGGTGATTCGTAATGAACACACAAGTTGCAACTTTCCATGGTTTGTTTACAAGGATGGTCAAACAACGCTGTAAGGTATAGAGAATGCATAAAATTTGTAATCTGAATATTTGCATAACAAATGCTAGGAAACTACTCACAGAGGCTATACTTCGTCATGATATGCGTATACGTATGCATCCCGTTTCGTTCACTGGTTATCATTCAGCTGCAAAGCGTGGAGCCGCCGCTCCAACTCCTAGCCAAGAAGACGCTTTCGTACGGGAAGTGGTCTAAAACGTACGCCTACCTAATTTTAAATGGATGCAAAAAAGCTATAAAGCTGGTCAAAATTAGTCTGGATTCGTTCGTGGGTGTCACGCCTCTTACAGTCTGTCGTCTAATTCTGGAATATTAAACCTACATAACCTCTTCTTTAAAGCTGATGCGTGACTCAGTTGGTGATTTTTCAGTCCAATTGGCGAATGCGCAATAGCAGCACCTAAGTTCCACTCACGTTCATGAAAAAAGGAAATAAACAGAAAGAGAGAAGGCCGAGAGATTAACCATATAGACGTTCAGGAAGCCTTCCTGCAAAAGCTAAGAAATACTTCGGTACGGAAACAGCTATATTATATCTCCTAAAATTACCGTTTTTAGAAACCGGTAAATAGCTCCATGCAGCCCTATTTTATAAATAGGCGAAATTATACTTACGTTCGGTAACTGTCGAACAGGCTGAAACAATAACCTAGGCCAGGCAGTGACATGTTCCTATTCGCAATGTAGTTTCCCACATTTTGGCAATGTTCAGATTGCTATGAAGTTTGAAAAACTTCATCCTATACTTGAAATAATTTGTGGCGCATAATTATTGCAGGGATTTGACACTACTGCTACGGCAGCTTCTTTTGCCATACATCTGCTCGGCAACCATCCGGAGGTTCAGGCCAAGCTTCACGAAGAACTGGATGCCGTGTTTGGTTGTGACCAAGAAAGACCCGTGACCAGAGAGGACATTGCGCAACTGAAGTACTTAGACTGCGTTATCAAGGTACGCAGCTGTAATTCAGATAAAGTGGCCATAATATGTAGACCAACAGACATTCTAAATAGAGAATTGTCTTTGTGGGGATGGCTAATTTGCAAGATCTCCAAAATTAATATGAAAGTATCTTTAATACGAAAAATCAACGGAAGCAGAAAAAGAACCGTCTTCAACCTAGGAAACGTGTGGTTACAGAATGAAAATTTTCAGCGTTTTTGTGTTTATTCTTTACTTCAATTCGATATCTGCAGTATAAAAGGAGCTGGTAGTAAAATGCTCTGTCCGGGAATCAGCGTATATGTAGCAAATGAATGTGCGTTGGACGAGTAAATTGTTCACAGTTCCCCAAGTTCTTTGTGGCCTTGATTGTCATGCATAAGGCAATGAAAATTTCTCCTTCTTTAAAGTCACTGTCTATGGTGCACTGGTATTCTTAATACGAAGTAAACCCCACTTTCAGCGATTCATTGTGACATAAGTTGTTACAAATTGTGCATGCATCATATCCTAAAAAATAAAAACGTCTTCTTTACTTATTACTACACCAAGACAACCAAGAAAATTAACGGCATCAAAATTTTGAGTAAACGCGGCTTCATTACGTAATTGCACTTGTGATGTTGTGATATATTCTTTGAAGCAATATATATATATAAATATATATATATATATATATATATATATATATATATATATATATATATATATAATGAGATATAACAGACAGTAATGCCAAGGAATGTACAGGGGAAGTTATTAGGACCAATGGAATGTAAATAAGAAGAAAGAAGAAAGAAAAGTGGATGAAAAAAAATAAGCATTGAACGCGTTATTCGAAGGTCGTGGGTTCGATTCCTGCTCACAGCTGGTAATTTTCTCATCCACTTTTCTTTCTTCTTTCTTCTTATTTACATTCCATTGGTCCTAATAACTTCCCCTGTACATTCCTTGGCATTACTGTCTGTTATATCTCATTAATATTGTGTTAAAACACGGAAATACGAGCCCTTAGGCATACACTTCTCTCCCTTATATATATATATATATATATATATATATATATATATATATATATATATATATATACAGGTTACCACTGCTATTCGCTATTTTAAGCGAGATTCAAAGTTGAAAATATGCCTACACACGTCATTACGACGCGACCAAATGCATATTGCTAACCATTGCCTGAAGTTAGTCAGACTACTTTTCGTGTTCTAAAATAATGTTGAATGATATATGTTTAATTATCTATCTTATGAAGGAACAAAGATTGATTAAAGTTTTCTATAGGAAAGTTTTAGATCGGTTTCCGAAACGTCGGATTAGACAGTTTCGAGTTTTACATCTGTTAATTATTAGTGTTTAATTTTTACCTACAAATGCCCGTGAAATACAAAAAAAATAGCCGCTTGACAAGCCCACTCGCGCGCTAGCGCGCACGTTGATTATAGTGCTCCCTAACGCTCCGCGCACGAACGACCATAGCGTTTGCCCTATAGTGCTGTTTTGACAGGGCTGCAACGATGGCGGAGTCTTCGCGATGAGCACGTTTTTCTATCAGCCACAAAAGTGATAACCGCTGTGACTGCTTATCGTTGTAATGACCCGGTGCGTACGCGGAACGTTAGGGAGCACTAGAATCTCGGCGTGCGTAGGGGCGCTACTGGGTTTGTCACGTGGCATTTTTTGTTCTTCGTGGTCATTTGTAGTTCGCAGAAAACACTAATAATTAACCGAGTTGAAGTTTGAAGCTGTCGAATAAGTCGTTTTGCAAAGCGATCTACAACTTTCTTGTATTTTTTATCCATCTTCGTTCCTTGAAAAGTTAGTTCGTTAAACAGATCTAATTAAAGAATATTTTAGAACACAAATTAGCCTGACTAACTATATTCAACGGTCAGCAACATGGATTTGGTGGCGTCGTAATCACATGTGTCAGCATATCTTTAAAATCTGGCTAAAAATTGCTGGGCACCCTATATATACGTGTATTCACTTATTCACTCTGTTGTTAGTACAAGTTTTTAACAGGATATAAAGGTGGGCTAGTTCGTAATTTATAATCGTTCAGCGAACTGGGAGCATGACGGGGGAACACACACACACGAAGCAAAGTAGAGGCACACGGCAAAAGCGAACGATAGGACTAGTTTAGCTTCATTTCTTTTTTTTTTTGTCTGTTTTAGCCACGAAGCACCCTTGACTTTAGGCTTCTCCGCTGTGGTGCGTTGTCTGTGATCAGGGTGATGACGACGATGATGCTGTACGTTGTGCGTTTTTCGTGCTCACGGCTACAATGACGATGACGCTGGTGATGATGAATACTAAGCGCGTTCCAGACCACACATTCTCTTTTTGACATGGATGAAAACGAACGTGAACCTGCTCTCGCCCGAGAATGACAATTCCGACGCAGACAACACGCGATGACGCTAATGACGATCAAGAATTAGCCCGTTCAATGCCACACAGTCTTTTTTGCTATGAATCAAAAGAAACGTGAACGCGCTTTTACCCGCTAAAGGCAACGCTGATGCCGACTGCTACTATGTGTGGAGGCGAGAGCGTGGCATGTGGCGACTCAACGTCTAGGCAGACAGCAAGCCACCCGGCGAGAGCTCGCGAAGCAGCAGCCAAACGACCACGATGACGATAAGCTGCTGCCCCGGAGTTGATAGCGTGGGAAGCGGTGGCGTAATCGCAAAAGTTCATTGTATATTCTGTCCATTGTATATACCCATTTACAAGCGCCAGTAGCCAATGTCGCGGTTGATTCACGGTAAGAACGATCCCCAGTGCTTCGCCCACACGTCGCGACTAAATTCAAGGAGATGCGGGGATTTCTCATGTATGGCTCTGAGACATTAATAACTAGTCACAGTTAGCAGTGCAACTACAGCCATGCTCAGCACGTTCTCAAATTTCTTTCTTGCAGGAAACTCTTCGCCTTTACCCACCTATTCCTGCTATTGCAAGAAAGCTCGGAGAAGACCTTACCTTAGGTAATTTTGGATTATTCATTTTTCTTTTGGTGAAGAACTGGACTTAGTACTGAACGCAACCAAAAATCATCTGTGATGAAGGAGCCTTTACAAAATATATAGTCTTTATAGATTAGTAAATTTAGAAACATTAAAATTGTCTTATGAGCAATGAGCGAATAAAACAGAAAGTGAAACAGAAATGAGCTGTAAGAATTGAGCTTTTATCACAGATAATCACTATGCTATAATAAATGAAGAAACTCATTAACCTGGCTCAATGAACAATCGGCAAATAAAACTCTGGCATGAATTGTCGTAAAGCAATATATGGTTAATTGAAAAACAGTAAATAATAAAAGTATAAAACTAATGAGATTTGGTAAACTTGTCAATTTCGGCATATAAGTACTCTTTAAAAGATAGGCGAAGGTGGAGAACAAAACACTGTGTAGTGTGTGGTTCCGCGCTTTCATTAAAAAAAATTGAGTCTTCAGATTTGAACACGTGTTTATATAATAGTTCTTTTGTTGTAAAGGGTATGACTGTGTTGAAAAATGACAGGAGAGGCCACGTTATAACCGAACTAGATCTTGCAATAAAGCTGTTGACAAAATATATTTCACTTTATTCTTGAGTCCGGGCGTATCACTGCCAAAAGGCTACACCAGCCCATGGCAAATAATTTACACTAACAAAAGAATAGCTCTCTGCATTTGTCTTTAAACTTGCGGGTCGAGAACGGTGCATGAAAAGAAAACGAAGCTATCACAGAACCTAACAAACTGATCTACATTATTGTAATAGCATTATGACTTCAATCATTACTTGCTGTGAAATGTTGGACGTTAGGTGCTTCTATGCGAAGATGCACGTCGAAGACAACAGCCGCTTGTGCAAATCGCCTTTATTTACGAACACCATTGCAGGATACATGGCAGAAATTTTGTGTATCTTGTCATAGTGTTCGGCACATGGACTCATAGGCACGTAGGCAGGTTCCCTAGGTACCATCTTGTATTCTTGCACTTTTCATGCACTGCACTTCATTGTTTTAGATCTCTGCGCCTAACGATAGCTTCTTATAGAATTATTATCTCATTTACTACTTATATTGACCACAAATCGGGAGGTCGAATTCCTTACCCCAGAAATTCGGTGCTCACAAAAGCGGAACGAGAAATTTCAATTTAACACAAATAAGTAACTCTGGTGTTTTGGCGAACGCCAAATAACTGAAGGTGGTCAAAATAAGCTACGAAAGCTTCATGAAGATTTGCAACATTCGCATGTAACGTTAGAACTTTATATTAAAATAATTAGGGAGCGCAACGTCTTGATAGAACGTTAACATTAAATTATTGTTCATTGTGCACTAGTAATTCTAATAGATGATCCACGATGTCTTTGCTTTTTTGCGTTTCAGAAAACTGTACCATCCCTAAAGGTACCGTAGCGGTTATCTTCATATATTTTATGCACCGGCATCCACGATTTGTCCCGAAGCCAAACGACTTCATTCCTGAGAGGTTTCTAGAGCTCGATAAAGAACGTCATCCGTTTCTGTACATACCTTTCGCCGGAGGAGCTCGCAACTGTATAGGTACGTCAAGCATGCGAAACTGATTTGGTTGCTTCTGAACGAGGCTCCCTAATGGTGAACTCCTTGAATGAGAGAAAAAAAAGAAGTGGTATGAAAGTAAAACAACATTTTATTAAGTCAATGTCACGATTGGCAATTCAGAATGCGTACTGACAATGGGAAGTTCAAGCAAACAAAGTCAAGAAACCATGCACGAAGCGGAACTCGCGAAAGATTCGTAGTTGTCACTTTCACGAGAAATCGCTTCTGCTGCATTCCAGGTGACTTGACCTTGCGAAGCTTTGTTGAGCGCATCATGAAATGCAAGGTTTAAATTACAACAGAACGTGAAAATTGACAGAGACACACAACGTTTTTTTTTTCTGTTAGTACGTGCATTTATTATTAGAAAGAAAAAAAAGAGATGAAGTAAGCCTTTCCTAGCAATTTCATTGATCGGTGGATCGTCTAGACCAAAATCGATTCAACTGCCACTTCAAAAAATAATTGCCTAAACAAAGCAACACCTTCACAAAACGTGCATGCAAAGAGGAAATTTCGCATACCATGTTACAGCAGTCTGCGCATCTAGAACAGTAATAATGCTCCCACCTAATTTCTCTCTCTTTTTTTACCTCAACTCGACAGGGCAAAAGTTTGCTCAGCTGGAGGACAAGATCTTACTGGCTCAGATCCTCAGGCGGTTCAAGGTGCAATCAAAGACCCGTAACGAAGATCTGCAGATGTCGCTGGAGCTCGTCTTGCGACCCACGCAAGGTCTGCACATAAAGCTGACCCCGCGGGATCACGCAGTCACGTAAACCAGAAGGCAGCTGTCGTAGTGCAGTAGTAAATTTTTATTATCGCTCGCACGTTCACTGTCAGTATAGCGTCCTCTCTTACGAGCGCAGCAGTATACATAGCACCAATCTTTCGAGTACACTCCAGTGGATTTTATACACGAAAGACTATTGCAAGTAGCTGCTGATCATTGTAAATATGTACAGTATGACAAATAATTTTATTGAATAAAGTTCCTTGAAACTATCGTTACATATGTCTCGTTGTTTGTATGCGTCAGCTCCCGCTTTTTGCGAGAAAAAGGCGCATTCGAGAAAGAGCGATTCTGTGTTCGACTGTTCATTGCCATTGCTAAGTTAATCACTGCTGGCGTCGCCAATAAGTAACAGTGAAAGGGTTGTAATACAAAAAAAAACAATCCTATAGTTTAAGCGTAAAGCTTTAACAAGCTTGGTGGCAAAATCATGCATAGATTTTTGGTGCCGTTACATTTCAGAGGCATTGCCTGAATAAATACGACTCTGCGTAGCATTCACGGGAAAAGAGAAAAGCAATATAGCAAAAATATCGCAGCTTTTCTTATGCTTTGAAAAAGGTCGCTGAAAGTATGGCCCACACAATTGACTAATGATGATGCAATAGCATTTACAATAAGAAGAAAACAGTTTAAACGTCGATTTCATAGCAACTCTGTTAAATGAGACTCAGCCCATATCTAACACTGTGATGCGATTTCATGTGATAACCCAAACGAAGAGAAATAAATTGCATACAGTTAGCTAGGGGAATGTCAGAACGTTACTAGGTAAACAACACTTAAACTTTACGCACAAAAAGTGAGTGACCATTTTTTTGTTTTCATTATTTCAGTGGCAGTAAGTGCAGCGCCAGATGAATCAATGACCAAACTGTGGCATCTCAATTTGTTGTCGACAAAAGCCGCTGTGCTAGCGTAAATTGCTTGTATCGTAACTTTATGTATAGCCTGATTTTGATTACAAGCAACTAGGTCAATAGATTTTTTGAGTTGAAATTTCCAATTGATGCCAGATAACTACGAAGCCACGGTGGGAGACTATAAGTACAATACTTGTGCGTAATTTTGCGAGACGCGATATTTAGACTACTGCTATGTTCTTCCAATCAACGTTCGAGCACTTGTTGTTGAAAGCCCAACTTACCATGTTTGCTGGTGCGTGCTGATAAACCCACTTCAGAAACTCAATCTCCCACCGGCATCACTCAATGATCTTTCGTTTTTGAATGGTCACACATCGACTGGGCGCGATGAGAACGGCTTTTTTTTTTGGGGGGGGGGGGGGCGGGGGGATTCCTAATAAAAACTGGATGGCACTCCAGTCCTCAATTCATATACTTAACGTGCGATGTGATGCATTGCTGTGTGCCTTCATCTTCTTTTTTTTTTTTTTTGGTCGGCAACCCCTCATTCTCTTTCCTAGTCCTTTTCCTATTTTTTCTCCCATATTTAAGCAACTGGCTGTGGTGTCTCTTTCAGCAGACATTTTCTGGTACTCTCCTTTATCTCTATTTCTGATGTTTCATAATATTACGCAAATAATAACTCTATACTTAACAGCAATAATTATAGTAATGATAACACTAGTCTTAATGCAGGTAACTGTTGCACCGCATTTCACGTTACCTCAGTCATATTCTAAATCCGCAGTGAGACGAAAAGTCATAGAAGTCATCTTCTGCCCATGTGAGAGCTTTTGCACTCAGTTATTTAGGACAATATATATATATATATATATATATATATATATATATATATATCTATATATATATATATATATATATATATATATATATAATATATATATATATATATATATATATATATATATATATATATATATATTGTGAGAAGATTGCACGCTTCGGCGGCCAGCCTTATTGCAAACTTCAACGAAAAAGAGATTGCTCGCTTCGGCTTACAGTTTGAATCTTCCTGCTCACATACGCTGTACGTGGAGTAATAACGGCCACAATACATGCATGTGCAAATAATATATGCAAATAACATGCAAATAATATTTATATATATATATATTTCTTTGTAACATTGAAGTTAAAAGGGGTAGCCGTAGTGTTAACAACTCCTTTGTTTATTTTCTATTTCAATAAAGAAACTCATCAGCCAAGCTAGAATCTTCAGCTATTCGGTCATGTCGAAATTCATCCCCTAAGGGGCTGTACGGTGATGTGCATCATCAAGTTCTCCGAAATGACCAGTGACTTTACTTCGGAAACATTCTGAATTCGGTGCTGTTTTTTTTACACGCCACGATATCAACACAGCAGGAACATTCCACCTTGTCTTTCTCAAAATGGTGAACGATTGGGTACCTCATAACAATGTCATTCTGTCTTTCAGGCCGCAGCTTCTACTTTCTCAAATGCTCAGGCTTTCAAGTACGGCGCGTGCATGGTTTCAGCTACGTGCTCAATACCAGGACTTGCTACTTGAGTTGTATCTGAATTTTGAGACAACAAGCTGTGCTGCCACCGAGACAGCTTCCTTGTGAAACGATGGCACGCTTCGGCGGCCAGCTTTATTGCAAACTTCAACGAAAAAGAGATTGCTCGCTTCGGCTTACAGTTTGAATCTTCCTCCTCACATAAGCTGTACGTGGAGTAATAACGGCCACAATACATGAAACAGGTGCTCCGAGTCCTCCCGCTGAAATTGGAGAATCAGCGAAGTGTATCTAGCGGTTGTAAATTTTTCTATTCTGAAACAACCATTACGCTATTTAGGTCAGGGTACTTCTATACTGAATTTTTCTTTTTTTATCTACATAACTTCTAACATTTCAGTGGCATTCTGGCGAAATACGGTTATTGTATTAAAATTTACACGAAAATGCATTTTCATTTATAGCGAGAAAGGCACGACCATCGACCGTATGCCGTGTGTCAAAAGCGCGAGTGTGTACGTCCACCGTAGCGCGGTGGCTGCATTTTCGATGGAGGCGAAATCAATGTAGGCCCGTGTGCTCAGATTTTGGTTCCCGTTCCATTGTACGCAGTGGTTGGTATTGACAACCACCGTCGTCCAATAAGCTTGGAGTCACAGTAATTGAAGAACCTACTGGGCATCAATAGCGTAAAATTAGGAATGTAAAGACTTGTGGTTGGATGAAAACCAGCGTGCAGCGCGAATGGTCGGTACATTCCAACGCGGCACAGCATATGATACACCAAATTTGTTATGTTGTTGTGTTGCGCCCCACCCCATCCAATAAATGTACAACTCGAGATCATTGGCTCATTGGTGGAAATTACCACCAAACAGGTTAATAGGAGCACATTCCTTGCATGATAGTGGAAATTAAAAATGAGCGGAACTTTTCAGTTAGCTGTTCTTACAGTCTATTCTCTGGTTGAGCTCTAGTGTACTTCGATTGGCTCTAACTGTTCAATGGGCACAATCTCTGAAATACAGCTGTCGATACACTTTGGTATGATCTGGAATGGGCGCGTACTTTGTACACGGAAGCGTATTAGGGGTGTGCGTGATTACGCAAGGAACTACAAACAAATAAAGCATTTCCACCTTCACTGTTCAGAAACCGATATGGGCAATGATAATATGGCAAGAAGTCGGGATAAAATGACCCTAAGAATTTTAAATGACACCGGATAGGTGTGAACCATCACGATCCTGGAGCAAACCTTGGCTGAATTCGTCCCTGCGAAGATTACCAGCCGTTTAACTTGGCGCACGAATATCATTCAAAGGTAGAGCGAGTCACTGACATGTATTTTGAGCGACGCAGCGACCACTTGACCTGGGAATAATTGCGTTGCGAATGCGAAACCCCTGTCGCATGCTCTCATCGAAGCAGACAACAAACGCGAGCAGATGACGGCTTGGCCGACAAACGCAGCTTGTGATTGGTTGTGAAGCAATTCTCTCAACATCAGCTGCATTCGTGGCATGGCCAAAACATTTCGTTCATCTGGCATGCCTGTCGTGTTCGTCATATCATCCCCCTCACACATAAGAGCAAATTTTGTCACGCCCTGAAAAATGCGCTAGAACTTTCTAAGAGCTATCCTACGTGTTGCGCAGTTGTCGAAAACAACATGGCGTCTTAGTGAGCGTATCAATCGGTGCGAATTTCAACAAGCGCCTCTCGCTTGAGTTCCTTCAGCATTCGACTGGATGTGTTTTTATTACCGCTGCTTTTTTGGTGCTATTAAACGGTGTGAAAACCAGTGGCACTGTATCGCCGTACGGCAACGCGTAGCGACGCCTGTCCCCCGTATTCACAAACGCTGCTCGACTCGACTTTCACTTTTCACTAGACAAAGTTGAGCACTGCGCCACTGCTCGGCTGACAATGACGCTGCGCTGCTCAAGAATCGCACCATATGATCGCTGATATGCAGTGAATTGCCGTGCCAATAGAGGGCGCTTCCATAGGCCTTTTCTAGTTAAGGTGAAGCGTTGAGGGAAAGAACGTTCTAGAATACGGGAGTGTATCTCGGTGTGTTTATCAAGCGAAATCAGCGCCAGTGCATCAACGGCAACTATCACTCGAGAAGACTGCAATGTGTGTTTGTGTGCTGGTAACAGTTCGTTCGGTTCACTTTCCAGTCTCTCAGATGGGTGCTGTACGACATTTCGGATTGGCAGCGTTTTGGCACGTTACTTGAGAAACCCCAAGTACTTACGAAAACGTATTAACTGCGCGCTGTGTTCGGTTCTTGCTTCGCCACTGGTTAGCCCGTACGCTTCTGTTTTCTTGTCAGCAGTCCGGTGTTCGGGAGTGAAACGATGTTCGTTGTGAATAGTGGTGCTGTGTTGAAGTTTCCAAGACTTGTGAAGAGGCTGTGCTCGTGCGACCGAAAATTGAAAGACAACATTGATAACCGTATCGCCCTGTGAAGTTGTGGCGGTGCGGCTTGGCGTTTTTGTGTGTTAATTCGTCACTTCTCCTTTTTGTGATAACCATAGTCCGAGCGCCGTGATGTGACGAACCGAAGCAGCGAGATGCTACATTCTGTTGTGGATCGTGTTGCTTCGGCAGCACGCTTAGATCGTTCTTCGGTAAAAACTTGAAAGTTCTATATGCCAGCGAGAGCCTGTGAATGTCAAGCTTCTCTCCGGTTCTCAGAAAGAACAAACATTTCACTAGTGCCTTGCTTTGTTGAAAGTTGGGCGCCAGTACCGGTTAACTACAGGTTTTCGAGTTCACCTGGCCATCGTTTCGCACGGACCT